AAGTACTTGGCTGCTGAATAAATATTCTTACCCAGTTTATATGTGATTGCCAAAAAGATGGGATAAAGTACTGCCTAAAATAGCTCCCTCCCCCTTTTTTAAACTTCATTTTCTCCTTGAAGAAAAACCCAAGCAATAAGAATCCTGTCTTCATCCCTTTTATATTGCCCTGTGTCCATTCCTCTGATAGCATATCCCTCACCTTGTGCTTACCTGATGGCAGCAGTGGGTCCTCATATTCCTTTTCCTCCTAGGCCTCTTAGAAGAACGAGCTCTCCTGTTGGGGCGCATGGGGAAACATGAACAAGCTCTTTTCATTTATGTCCACATCTTGAAGGATACAAGGATGGCTGAGGAGTAAGTTTGCCCTGCCATCCCACCTGCTAACCAGTCTAAAAGCAGGCCCTGCAGAGAGATGAGAGCTAAGAAGGCCATCTCCCCATCCTCTGCTGCAGGAGCAAGAGTCTCCTCTGTCCCAGCCCCCAGTTTTGGCTGCACGCACAGACAGCCTCTCATCTAGATGTGCTCCTCACCACCTGCTCATCACTTTCTCCCCTGCAGGTACTGCCACAAACACTATGACCAAAATAAAGATGGCAACAAAGATGTGAGTAGTGGCCCTGACCCAGGAAATGTGTGTGCATACCTCACCCTATCAGTTTGATCAGAGGGGGCACTAATACGAGTGGCAGAATAAGATAGGGCATGGGTCAGGGCACTGATTGATCCTGCATGTATGTATTGAGGGAAAGCTGGTGTGCTTGGGGTAGTTCCGGCACACATCTGTTGTCATCCCTGTGATTATGAATGGCTCTTCTGTCTCTACTCTCAGGAGTCTGGATTTGTATAATAAATGATAAGGTCCACCTGTTGAGCAGGAACCTGTCATGGTTCTGATGTACTTAGTATATCTCGAATACACATTGACCTGTCAATGTCTAGAGACAATTTTGATTGTTGGGACTGAGGGCAGGGGTGCTACCAGAATCCAGGGAGTAGAGGCCAAAAATGCTGCTAAACAATGCCCAGGACCGCCCCCAAACCAAGAATCATCCAGCCCCGAATGGGCATTGAGGTTGAGAAACCCTGTGGTACTGGCGCCAGTAGGAAACCTGAGGTTATCCCCACCTGCAAAAATGTGGACAGGATCTCAGCTTTTAAAGCCAAAGGAAATGAGGAATCTTTTTGAATTATTTTACAGTGGTAGCATTTTGTAAATGGTATAATGGTAAACAAATAGAAGGCATTTGTTTTTTTCTCTCAGGGAAAAAGCAATCGTTAATTAACATCTTCAGTTTCCTGTTTGACCTTACCAATTTTAAAAGGTGAAAATAACAAGTTTTAAATGCTCAGTGATAGGCGAGCCCCTCGAATCTTTAGGGTTGCTCAGGGCTGGGGGTTCTGGGAGGGCTGCTGCCAGCCTGATGTGGCTCATGTCTCTCTGAGACAGGTATATCTGTCCCTGCTTCGGATGTACCTGTCACCCCCCAGCATTCACTGCCTGGGGCCAATCAAGCTGGAACTGCTGGAGCCAAAGGCCAACCTCCAGGCTGCCCTGCAGGTCCTTGAGCTGCACCACAGCAAACTGGACACCACCAAGGTCAGGAGTTGTTCCCAGGGAAGTGGAGGGTGTTTACAGGGAGCACCAAATGAGAAGAGGAAATGTGAAAAGGGACTAGGGTCCAAGAGCTCCATGGCTGCAGACATTTCTTCATTCTCATTCCTCTTCCACCTCACGCAGTCTCTATCTCTGTTCCTGCCCCTAGGCTCTCAACCTTCTGCCAGCAAACACTCAGATCAATGACATACGAATCTTCCTGGAAAAGGTCTTGGAAGAAAATGCACAAAAGAAACGGTTCAATCAAGTGCTCAAGAACCTTCTCCATGCAGAGTTCCTGAGGGTATGGGCTTCCAAACTCTAGGGTGGGCTTTTAATTTTTAGTACGTGACAGTGTCCACATGTTCCCTTCCAACCAAGGCAGAGCCTGTACAGTGCAGCTCAAGTTGATCTCGTAGCCAGCTTTATATTGAATTGCCAATGTTCTAAGCAGAAGAATCTGTGAAGACTGAAAGAGGAAACAGTGCTGGCCTCTGCCTCCTGTTTCTGGGTGCCACACCATGGAAGTTCTTCCTCTGTCCCCCTGTTCTTCCAGGTCCAGGAAGAGCGGATTTTACACCAGCAGGTGAAGTGCATCATCACAGAGGAGAAGGTGTGCATGGTGTGTAAGAAGAAGATTGGGAACAGGTGAGCCTCCTCCACAGCTGTGGGCTCTGTGGAGGGTTCCCCAGTGGGTGGACAATGCTCAGGTTGGATTTCTGCCCTTTAACCAGGAAGGAGAACATGCCATTGGCTGTCCTGACAGCTTTTAGTTCTTGAGCCTACAGAGAGCAGCCTGTGCTATCTATTGGGGGTGGGCTTTGAGAATGTAAAGACCTGCAATGTATGGTATGGAGCTGTTGGATTCTTGTCCAAAAAGCTCTTCCCCTCTGGAAGCCAGAAACTGATATAGTGGGTGCCAGAGAGATGTAGGTCAGCAGAAAGTTCTTATATTTTAAAGAAGAGCCAGTGAAGGAAGAAAAAGACTTTCAAGCTACTGCATTGTGACTTGAGTAGGATCCTGAGCCAGCCTCATACTGTGTTAAGACATATACTCTCATCAGTCCCCTTTTCTTCAAAGGAGAGTCATTTGTCCCTTTTCTTTTGTAGCTGGAAAAATCTTTTTCTTTAGAAAGACAACTCGTTGTCCTTTTTAGAATTAGCCTGAAACCTGTTCCAATGAACATTATTGGCTCTCAGTCAGCCATTGCTGAGCTTTGGGCTGGTGCACTGCCTATCTTTATTATGCTGTGTGTTTTGCATAATAAAAAATACCCAATGCACTCTGACTGTGTGCACCTCATCCTCTGTTGGGTTATTTGACAGAGATGGTGGCTGCAGAAATCTGGAGCCACTCAGGGCAGGCTGTTCTTTGAGGTCTGGGTGGGCTGCTTCTGGGATGGCCTCCAGAAATATGCCTCTTCTTTAAGAGGTGCCACTGCCAGAGAAGTGGTCACTTAGAGGCAGTCCTCACTCCTAAGCCATTTTCTTCACTGCAGTGCATTTGCAAGATACCCTAATGGAGTGGTCGTGCACTACTTCTGTTCCAAAGAGGTAAACCCAGCTGACACTTGAGCCCAGCATCCTGAGGATCCAGCAGATGGACAGCTTGGCTCTCCCAGTGAGGTGAAGGAGCACCTGGCCTTAGGAATCCTGGCTGCCACCACCACAGGGCTCCCAATTTGGACACTACTGGCTGTCTTGTGCCTTGGAACAACTCTGAATTCATTAGACTCATGGTCTGGCATTGCCAGCTTTTTAATGGGAAAAGAGATTAGTTATACCTTATACCTATATGCTGTGGGCAATTCCAGAGAATTCATTATCTGCCTGGACAGGAGGAGGTGCACTGTCTTGCCTTTGCATACCAGTCACCTGCAAAAGGAAGCTTGTCAAAAATGTTTGTAACCATGATGTTGTTCTTCAGTGGCTTTTCTATTGAGATAAGTGCACGATTTCACAAGGACCCCTCAGCGTGGCTCACTGGAGAGTTCCGTGAGAGAACAGTGCTAAAGCTTCTGGCCACATGGACCTGACGGCTCGTGTTGTGTGTAGCGCGTTATGTCCCCAGGGTAGCCATGCCCTGTTAGTTTTCAGTCTCCTTTTCTTTCTTACCATGTATCACTCCCGTCACTGCCCTATGTAGGCTTTCTCTCCCACTTTCCTGACTCTGGGATAATATTTAAGCAAGGTAAGATGAGAAGCTAGGGGAAGTCTCAGTTCCTTGGAATACAGTGAGAGTTGATTGTCGAGTATGTTGTAAATAGATCCTCTTCGGCCATTCTCTGCCTAGGAAAGGCCCTGCATCCCTCTCCTCAGGCCAGGCTGAGTGTGATGGCAGCTCCTGAGGATGGGCCTGCCCTATCTGGGGTATATGTGATCCTTAGACACTTGTTCCCGCAGTGGTCCCTACTCCAGCTTCGCTCACCAGATACTCAGGCAGGCTGGCTTAGTCTTTGTGAGTGGCGACTTTGTGCTCTGGGCCCTTTCTCTTTTTCCAGCCAGTTTCCATTCACTTACCTCACAGCCTGTCCTGGCCGTCACTCCCCAGCTTTGTTTGGCAGTGGTATGGTAGGAGGATTGTGCTGGGATAGTGCAGGAAGGTGGGTCACAGCAACACGCAGGGGATGAGTGGAGGGAGAACTGACAATGGTGTGATGCCACGTGTTCTTGAGAGGTTACAGGCATGGCACAGGACGTGGGGGCAGGAACAGCAGCACGCTGGTTTAAAAATAGCTCACCACCAAACCTGGGGAGCAGTGTCACGGATCCTGACGGATGTGCAGGGGCTGGAGTTTCAGGCACTGCAGGCTGAGGACACAGGGACAGTGGTCCTGCCAGCAGTGTGTGGTGCCATGTCCCGACTGGCCATACCCACACAGAAGCAGTGCTGCCCAGAGCCTCGTCCCGGTCAGCTTGGACTCTGCTTCCTCTAGGAGCAGCAAGGAAGCATTAGGCTGCCTCCCTGGAGAGCAGGAACTTGTCCTACCACATGAGCCCTGCCTTCCTGGCCAGCTGTGCTTATATCTTCCATTCTCATGAACTGTGTTTAAAGCAATAGAATAAAGAATGTGGGTTTTCTTTCCTGGTATACATAGACGACCCCATACTCCCTAACTCCATTCTTCCTTCTCTCAGCTCTCTGCCCTCCACAGAGTTCTGGAGAAGGCTGGAGATGAAAGCTTTGTAGTGAGGACTGATAAAGATCTCATCACTGCTCCTCATAATAAATCTAATAAAGCAAGAAAGCCTGTCTGGGTCTCTTATTTCCCCATCCTGTGGAGTTTGATGAAAATAATAATAAAAAGATAGTAATTTAGCAAAGAACCTAGAAGAATAAGCCAATTAGTGACTAAGAAAAAATATAAAGCTTGCATTACAAATGTCACCCCATGCCACCTGGTACAGCTAGGGTGGTCATGGCTGATGAGTTGACAGCACAGATAAAGAACACTGCCGTCATTACAGAATTCTACTGGACACACTGGAGCTCCAGGAGATCCAAGTGTCTTCCCCCCTCACATAGTAGGGCCTAGGGCCTTTTCCTACAGACCATGATGACTGGAAGGAATTGGGATGGAGGGATGCAGGGGTGTTTGGGAAGCGGAGAAGTGTTGGTTCCTTTTGGCCAGGTCCAAAGAGAAAATGTAGTCCTTGTCTCTGTCACATCTGGCACTAGGGACAATGACTTCCAGAAGAGGGTGGGACAGCCCAGAAAGCACATCAGCTGGGAGCCAGGGCCCCAGCCTGTTTCCATCCTAAGCTAGCTCTGTGCCCTCTCGTATGGATCCATGGGTCCTCTGCACACATTCACAAGGATCACCAAGGGTGCCAGATTCTCATTTCTTAGACCCCGGCCAGGTCTTGGCTTCACAATCCAAATTAAGCACACAGGCCCTTCTTTGTGGCCTGGTCACTGGCAGTCACATCCCTTTTCGGGGGGAGTTTCTGGTCTGACCTTGCCCATTTGGTTCATTTTGGAGTTGAATCACATCTTTTTTGGATGTTGCATATTTCAGCCTGCGACTCTGAGCCTTGGGAAGAGTGGAGGTGACTGAATTTTAGTTGAGGGACAGAAATTTTCTCACCTCCCACAGTTCATGGCCCCAGAGATCCTCACTCTTCCTGGAGACTGTGCCTGTCTTGGCCATCTGATGGTTGTGGTGCACAGGAGAGCCGACATCATATCCATCTGCAGCCTAAGGCCTCCAATGGCCAGAGAGCACAATGAAGCCTGTATCTCTAGTTGCTGAAGGACAGGCAGAGTTTTTTTTTTTTTTTGCCTGTCTTTACTTATACTTCCTACCCCTATTCCGGTCTGTACCTGGACCCCGTTCACTGACCAAGGAAGTGGGCCTGGGCAGAAGCCACAGGGAGTCACAAGACTAAATTTCTCCAGGATGTGGATGGGCCTAGCACAGATCTGGTACCCACCAGGCTTGTTGGGGTCTGGCAGGTCTGCCGGGGGGCTACTGACCTGCGGGAGTCCCCGAGACCACCAACGTAGATGTCTCGTTCAACCTGAGGGAGAGAGTGTGTGGAAGTGAAAGAAGAAAGTAAAGGGGAGTCTGGAGGTCTGAATGACTTGTAGTCAAGAAGTAGCTTTATTTTTGTGGGTTACAGCTTTTATACCTTTTTTCTTGTTACATTTACTTTATCTCAGCAGAAAAAGGGGTAAACAGAAAAGAGAACAGAAACCATGTAAAAATAGTTATCAGGGGCCTGTGATAACAGCTCACAAAGCAGTTTTGAGGGGGCTTGTGATAATAGCTTACAAAGCAGTTTAAGAGTTAATATATGTTTTTCAAAGATACACAGTGCAAGCAAACAATGGTGCCCTTAAGGTGGCTTGTTAATCATGTTTTCCATCAGGAGGTAGAACAGAGGCTCAGCTCCTGAGAAAATATGGGCAGGGGTCTTTGCCCCTCTCAGGCATCTCAATTGCAGCAAGCCTATTGCTTACACAGAGACTAATGGGGATATGAAAGCAGTCAGCACAATGTCCTCATAAACCGCAGGCCCTTACTCTGCATTCTGTTTTTGCCTCAGTGGCTTAGCCATTTTTACCTCGACTTGGCAGCCCTCGAGAGCGGGGGGAGAGCAGATAGGTCCAGCAGCCAAGATGGGGCGAGTCACGCTAACTGTCTCAAGCCCTTGGCGCGAACACTGCACAGGCTCTTGATGTTTGGAGAATTAATGAGGGTGGTCAGGAGTGATTAGAAACATCTTTGAGCTCTGATGAAACACTGAACCAGAGATCTCTAGGCTTCTGCTCAAGATCCTCGGGGAAGGTGGGACTTGAACGGTAGCTAGTTTTGGGCCTTTTCCACAGCTGGAGGAGACTAGTCCCTGATTTGCACTTGCCAGCTGATCTCTGGGCCCGCTGTGCCAGCCTTACCTAGAGTTCTTGTTGGAAATGGCTCCGGTATCTATTTTTCACAAACAGCCCAGTGATAACCAGAAGATTCTCGAACAAGAGTGCTGACCAGAGACTCCGAGAGCCTTTGGGAGAGGGACTAAGCTGCCTCCTGCCTGGGAAAATTAGGCTCCAGTCACTTCCTGGAGCATGTCAAACCCCACCTCCAGCAGGACATCCAGCCTGAGTCCTCTGCAGAGCAGGCAGCTCCACCCTCCCCGCTCAGCCCTACCTATCACACCTGAGCCAGCAGTTTGTGTAGTCAGAGGAGCACAGACAGGTCTCCGTGCTGGGGCCCGGGCTGCCCAGCCATGCTCTGGGCACTCTGGCCAAGGTGGCTTGCAGGCAAGATGCTGCCCTTCCTGGGGGCAGTGCTGGTTCAGAATAGCAAGAAGAAGGGCCCTCCTTGGAGGCACCGTTGGGTAATGTACCTGAGAAGACCTGGGAAACCCGGACTGGGGCAGTGCTGGGAGCTGCTGTGCCCTGTGGACACAGGCCAGCCCCAGCCCTGGGTTTTGAGTTGGGGTGGAACCTGTTTATTCTAGATTACCTGGCAGAGCTTAAATTAGACTGTGGCTTTTGAAAATAGCTTCCTCTTAGCTTAAATGTGGCTGTGAAAAAAAAAAAAAAAAAAAAAAGGAAAATAGCTCCCTCCAATTAGGAAATGGAGAGCTAGTTCACTTGACACCTGTCTCTGGTGGGTTGCTTTTGCCAAGGAAGCTCGAGACTGTACAGCCCACCACCCCCTCCACCAGCCCTCGGACTGGCCGGGTTGTGAAGGGAGAGCTTCCCTCCCAGCAGGTGCCATGCTGATGTTATCTCCTGAGCTCAGCTGCAATCTCCTCAGTGACTCATCAGACCGGTACAGGCTGGGCTGGTGACTCTTGGCATCCACTCACCTGCTCGCTGCCTCCTAGGTGGTCTTTGGACCTGTGTCAGGGAGAAATTGAGGGAGGGGGTGTCACCATTTTCTCTTTTAATATTGATTTTAAATTTAATGTTGATTTAAAATTGCTCCTCAAGCACATTAGTGCAGCCCTCCCAGCCGCTCCCAAGCTCGAGTGGGGGCACAGGTGTCTGCAGGGAGCTGCAGGTGTGTGGTGCGTGACAGCTGCCATTAGTTGAGTGAGTCCATGCTGGATGTAGATTTGAACCCAGCCCTGACGGGATCCAGGAACCAGACGTGTCACCAAGGTGCTGAACTCCCAGTGCCTGGGTGTTGCCAAGGTCTCCCTGCTCCATGGCACAGAGACATCAGTGACCCTGTGCCAGGCTGCTGCTCCATGATAGGTGGAGGGGAACAATGGGGTGACGGACCAGGCTCCCACCAGCAACTGAGTCCCTGGAGTTCTGTTGTTGCAGCGGGAAACCCATCCATACTATGACCTCCAGGTGAAGGTGCTGAGGGCCACAAACATCCGGGGCACAGACCTTCGTGAGTGACCCTGTCACCACCCTTCTCCCTGTCCTTTCCCTGTGGCCTCCTCAGAGCTTGGCTCAGGCCAGCAAAGAGTGTGCATGTGTGTGTGTGTACATGTGTGATTATAAGTGAGAGTGCATGTGTGTATACATGTGTGCATATGTGTACACACGTATGTGAATATACTTGTGTGTATACATGTGTGCACGTGTAAGTGCAAGTATGTGTGCAAGTGTGAGTGCATGTATATACATGTGTGAGTGCATGTGTGCATACATGTGTGAGATGTATACATGAGTGCGAGTGTGGGAGCACAAATGTGTATACATGCATGCAAGTGTGTGTGCGTATGAGTGCAATATGTGAGTGCAATGCAAGTGTGTCAGTGTGTGTATACACATGTATGAGTGTGATGCAAGTGTCAGTGTGTGTATACACATGTACAAGTGAGTGCGAGTATGTGAGTGCGAGTGTGTGAGAGTGGGTGTGAATGAGTGTATACATGTGGGTGTGTTGTGTGTATATGTGTGCAAGTGTGAGGGCATGTATACATGAATGCCAGTGTGTGTGAATTTGTGAATTCGAGTGTGTATGCATGTGTGAGTCCCAGTGTGAGTGTGTGTGTGTGTACATGTGTGCCTGTGTGAGTGCAAGAGTGTGTGTGTAGGTGGAGGGACTGCTGACCACAGAGGTGACAGCAGGTAGGGCTGGAGGGGAGAGCTGTGCCCACTTGGCCTCTTCCCCATGCCTGTGAGTCCCGCCGTGGGTGAGAGTGTGAGGCCTGCTGTGGCTCCAAGTCAGTGTGTGCTCTCATGGAGCTTTCCATGCCAGTGCCCGCACTGGGAGGGGATTTGACTGCCTGAGTCAGGCAGTATGTGGAATGAATGACTGCCAAGGGATCTTTCCAACTGGCTGCTGCAGGATTTCTGTTCAGGTGAATGGGAGGTGTGTGGAATCAAGATGGAACAAAAGACATCAAAGCTCTCCCTCCCCCTTCTCACCCCTTCATGCCACATGGGCAGCTTCCCTTCCCCACTCAGCTCCTTTCCCTTCTGCCCCAGCCTCCCCCAGCAAACCTCTTCAGCGATGAAAGCCCCAGCCCCTCCCATCCTACCTGCAGTGTCCAAAGCCGACTGCTACATGCAACTGTGGCTGCCCACGGCATCCCCCAGCCCTGCCCAGACTAGGATAGTGGCCAACTGCAGTGACCCCAAGTGGAATGAGACCTTCCACTACCAGATCCATGGCGCTGTGAAGGTGAGGGCCAGGGGCCAGGCTGTGGAAGGAGGGGACTCCTCAGGTGGCTGCCCTCCTGTCTTGCCTCAGGCTCCGACCTCCTCCCTGCCCCATCCCCAGAATGTCCTGGAGTTCACCCTCTATGACAAGGACATCGTGGGCAGTGACCAGCTCTCCCAGCTCCTGTTTGACCTGAGGAGCCTCAAGTGCAGTCAACCCCACAGACACATCTTCCCACTCAACGACGAGGTGAGACCACCAGTGCTGGCGGAGAGCCCAGCTGGAGGAAGGGAGGACCAGCACAGGCTACCAAAGAGGGGGCTCGGACCAGCACAGGCCAAGCCTCCAAGACAGACCTTCCTTCATCCTACAGCCCCTACCCGATAAAGCTTTCACATATCCTCCTTGCATAGAACCAAACACAAGCTCCTTCCAGGCAGTGTGTGGCTTGTCTTACTCACAGCTGAATCCTCAGTGTCTAGAACAGCACATATTTTGGAATGAATGAGGCCTTCCATGGAGATACCACTGCCCCTTCTGTGTCCATCACAAGCCACAATGTCCATTTTCCCTTCTGGTCCCTGGAGCTGAGCAGGGCTGGCAGGCAAGAACAGCTGTGGGGGCTTTTGGAGCCTTTAAACAATTGGTGCTCCCTCCCCCTCCATGTGGGATTTACAAGAGCTGCAGGTGGAATTCATTCTGGAGAAGGGGTGAGTTCTGGCAGAGCCCACTCCCTCAGAGGCTCCAAGATTTGAGTCATGGCAGCTCCTAGGGGCCAGTCACCATGTCCTGTACTGGCCTTGCAGGCCTGGCCTGGAGGAGACAGTCTGGTCTTGACATCCACTGCATGTTGGATGACAGCCTCACCCCACCCCAAATGCTGCCATGCTCCCCAGACTCTGCCTACTGCTTCAGTCACATTCTGATTGTAGCAGCCATCACGATGGGGCCAGATGTCCCACATATTCCTAATCCTTTGCATCCAGGTACCTGTGTCTGAAGTCATCACCAATGGGGTTCTAGTGGTGAGTGGGGAAGACGAGCTTGGTGTTATCCTGGGCTGGGGGGCAGTGAGGAGCCCGTGTAGGAGCCCATCAGGTCGACTTGCCTCTGAAGGACACCCAAGCCCTTCTCAGAGGGGAGACATGCTAGGGAAGCACCTCCAGAGGGGAAGGATGAGAACCTCCCAGGCACTTGGTGGACAGCCCAGAACCCCAGCCTCCCACCTCGCATGTGGCAGATTACTCACTTGGGCGTCCAGCTGCTGAGACCACTGGAGCAGCTACTCTCACGGCTTCTCACCTCCTTCCCCTTTCCCACCAGTGCCCACTTCTTCTGAGTCTGGGGAGAGGAGCTGGGTATGACCTTGGGCTGCTGTAGAAGACTCCTACCCTTGAGGCCCAGGTCCTGGGAGGGCTGTTTCCCAGACCCTGGCCCAAGCCCTCCTCCCTCCTTCCATCCTGGCCCGTGGGCTGTCTAGCTCCCACAGAGCTCTGCTTTCTTCAGGCTCACCCCGTCTGAAAATCCAGGGCATGCTCCAGCGAGATGGGACAGCCCCACATCAAGAGTTCGGTGAGTCTGCTCAGTTGCCTTGGGTCTCACCTTCTCTCCTGGGTTGGGACTACTGATGTCAAGGAGGTGGGTCCGGGGCAGGAAGTTCTTAAAGTTTTCGCTGCTCAAAGCCAAACCATGGGATGGATTGCCCCTGGAGGCAGTGAATGACCTGTCCCTGGAAGCATTTGAGCAAAGAGGTTGTATCAGCCCAACTATTGCTATAGAAGGAACACCCACATGATCTCAGTGGCATACAAGCAGCATTTATTCGGCTCACACACCTGGTGGTCAGCGGAGGGGTGGGCCAGCCCTGTGCTGGGTGTCCCTCCTCTGCCTCCTGTGACAAGCCCATTAGCCTAGGCATGTTCTCAAGGCATCAGCAGAGGCCCAAGAGAGCAAGCCCAGCTGAGCAAGTGCTTGTCAAGCCTGGTCACATCCTGGCCACTGCCCAACATGTTATTGGCCAAAACAGCATTGAACTCAAAGCTGGAGGGCAGGGAACATAGTTGGCCTCTTTTTTTTTTTTTTTTTTTTTTTGAGATTCTCCTGACTCAGCCTCCTGAGTAGCTGGGATTACAGGCATGCGATACCATATCTAACTAATTTTTGTGTTTTAGGTAGAGACAGGGTTTCACCATGTTGGTCAGGCTGATCTCAAACTCCCCACCTCATGATCCGCCTGCCTTGGCCTCCCAAAGTCCTGGGATTACAGGCGTGAGCCACCGAGCCTGGCCTATAGTTGGCCTCTTTAGTGGGAGGAGCTGAAGTCACATGGCAGAGTGAGAATACAGGGGAAATGAAGAACTGTTGTGTAACAGCACAGGCCCCTTCCAGTGCTGACAGTCTGAGCCTGCAGGATGAGTCCCGCCCAGGGAACATGGAGCACTCCCTCTGAAGCAGGCCCTGGGCTAAGCATTTTAATACGTCTTATCTCATAATCCTCCTAACAACCCTGTAAAACAGGCACAATCATTATCCTTTAATTCAAGAGACTGAGGTCCAAAGAAGACACTTGCTCACAGGCACACAGCCAGTAAGTAGTAGAGCCAGAGTCAAACCCAGGTCTGTGACATGCCGGTTCTCTCAACCATGGATTATACAGTTTCTTCTCATGAATAGCACATCTCCATCTCAGTCCATAGGCCTTGGTGTGAATAAAATATCACTTTCCTTATTTTCTTGAATTCCCTCCCACACTTGGGTCATGTTGCCTCATCTAGTTGGGTCATGTTGGGTCATGAGGTCTGGGCCTCATCTAGTGCAAGGAGGGCTGTAAGGCGAGGACCCCTCCAGACCTCTGACCCCTCAGTGTCCGCTGTCCTTGAATCCTTTGGGGCTTTGTTGCTCCATGTTGTGTTAGGGGCTGGGACTCCTGGGAGGCTGTCTGTGGCCCCCTTTGCCTGGATGTCCTGTGCAGCCATTTCTCTCTGGGGTCTGGCCTCCTCCCCAGGAAGCTGCTGAGAAGCTGGGCAGGGAGCTCTGGAACCCACAAGCCCACCCCCTCATGCCTCCCAGCCTGGGCGTTGCCTCGAGCCTGGGCGTCAGCTTCCAGCCTGGGCCAGCCTGCACTGCTTCTCCAGGACGTGCATCTTTCTGTACCCATGCATCCATTCTTTTCCCACCTCTGCAAACCTTTCTCTCCCAACATCTGACACTTTTGGAAACAAAGACCAGAACAACTTGCAGCCCATTGGTTTTCTCTCAGACCACAAACCTCCCCCAGCCCAGTGAGCAAAAAGCCTGAAGTGGAGCAAGAGAAGAGGAAACCACTGCCTGAAAGCTCCTTATTCTCATAATAAATGTAGAATCATCTCAAAATTGTCAGCCCCACAGGCTATGGGCAGAGCCCTTCTTCCTCCCCACTCCCTGCCTTCCCCTCCAGGCATTTGTGTGCTTCCCATCCTTCCCCAAGTCCCAATTCTGAACCAGGGCAGGCTAGAGGACCCAAGAGTCCTTCTGGAGGCTTTCTTAATGAGCAGAGTGCTAGAGAGAGCAGGGTGATAGGTGTTGGCATTTCCTAGGGGAAGGGAAGGGAGGAGATGCTGCTGGGGTACTGCCAGCATAAGCCGCACAGATACAGACCCACTGCTCACCTGTGCGCTCACCTGGGCCCTCTGCTCTCAGGCTCTAGGCAGCTCCAGCTGGCAGTGCCTGGGGTCTATGAGAAGCCACAGCTCTTGCCTCTGAAGCCTCCTGCAGAGCCAGGCCTCCCACCCATCTTCACCTTCCACGCGAACCCAGTGCTGAGCTCTAGGCTGCACGTGGAGCTGACGGGGCAGCTCTCGGCTGTGCAGGTGAGTGCGCTGCTGGCAAAGGGCAGGACCTTAGCTCCAAGGCCATATTGGGGGACACCTTCTCTTCCCCGCTGGAATGCTCCTTGGGTGTTTTCTTCTCCACAGAGTGGCCCCAAAGAGCTGGAGACTCAAACCAGCAAGCTGGGTGAGGGAGGCATCCTGCTCTCCTCTCTGCCCCTAGGCTGGGAGCAACAGCATTCTGTGGCCCTGGGGGAGGTAAGACTCTGTCTGGGTGCCAGAGGGACCCCTGCCTGCTCTCTGTGACCACCAAGAGAGGTCTGGATGAGGGACCCAAGAGGGTGGCTAGATGAGCCCAGAGCTCAGTCACAATATCTACATCAGGCCAGAGATAGCAGGGCTGCAGAGGCTGCAGGTAGGGAAGCCATTTCCCTGGGAGATTCCTGCTCAGAGAGCTCAGGGGTGGGGCCCCTGTGTCTTTCAGGGCCAGGAAGTGGCTCTGAGTGTGAAGGTGGAAATGAGGTGAGTGGAACTCCAGGCAGAAGGCCTCTCAGGGCTGGGCTGGAAGTGCGGGGACATACTGCAACGTGCTCCGCTCTCTTGCCCACAAAGCTCAGGCCATGGGGTTGGGATGACACCTTTCCCTTCCCCTTGGGGCTGCTGCTGTGTGAAAGACCTGGGCTGGGCCCAAGGCTTTTGTCCACTGGACAGTCACCCAGACCCCACCCCTGCCCCACTTGATGCAGCTCCGTGGACCTGGACCTATGCCTTGGCTTTGACCTCTGTGATGGGGAGCAGGAGTTTCTGGACAGGAGGAAGGAGGTCGTGTCCAAGGCCCTGCAGCAGGTGCTGCGATTGAGTGAGGCTCCGGACAGTGGCCAGGTACGGAATGGAAAAGGAGCTGGACCGCAGAGTCACTAGGACCAAATTGAGCCTCTTCCCTTGAGAGGACCATCATGGCTAAGAGGGGATGGGAAGGCCAGAGGAAGGTTGTGGGCAGAGGAGTTTGGCCTGTTCACCTGAGCTGATGGGCGCCATCCGCAGAGCCAGGACCCCATATGGGACTAGGGCCAGTCACCCCTGTCAGGGCTGGATGTCTTGGTCTCTGTGGGCTGCTGTAACCAAATCCCATGGACCAGGTAGCTTAAATGACAAAAATGACTTTTCTCTCAGTTTTGGAGGCTGGAAGTCTAAGATGCAGGTGCCATCATCAGGGTTGGTTTCTGCTGGGGCCCCTCTCCTCTTCCTGGTGGGGCCGTCTGGCCATGTTCTCATGTGGCCATTCCTCTGTGCATGTGTGCAGAGCGTGCCCCTTGGTGGCTCCTCCTCCTCTTCTAAGGACCCCAGTTCTATCAGTTGAAGGCCCCACCCTGACTCACTTCACCTTTTTTTTTTTTTTTGAGATACAGTCTGGCTCTGTTGCCCAGGCTGGAGTGCACTGGCATGATGTCGGCTCACTGCCCCCTCTACCTCCGGGGTTCAAGCAATTCTCCTACCTCAGTCTCCTGTGTAGCTGGGATTACAGGCATGTGCCACCATGCCCAGCTAATTTTTGTATTTTTAGTAAAGATGGGATTTCATCATGTTGGTCAGACTGGTCTCAAACTCCTTACCTTGTGATTGGCCTGCCTCGGCCTCTCAAAGTGCTGGGATTCAAGGCGTGAACCACCGCACCTGGCCCACTTCACCTTTATTACCTCCTTGTAGGCCATATATCCAAATACTGTCACATTGGAGGTTAGGGCTTCAACATAGGAATTTGGAGGGAGAACACAGTTTGTTCTGTAACGTGATAAAAGGGATGTGGAGGTGGGGGGGTCCCTGGGACCCTCTGGGTATAGCAACAGCCAGCCTGTGTCTGGAAGTCAGGAAGAAAGGAGTGCTGAGAGAGGGACTTACTGGGGATCAGGAATAGGCTGCTGTCTTCCTCCTGGCTGCCTGTGTCCTCAGGAGACGCTGTCACTGTGGCCCAGGGCTGATGAGCCTAGATCGTTCATTTGGTCAATACATACACCCGCTCTGTGCCAGGTGTCTGTTCTGCCTCATCCAGCATTCTGAAGCGACAGCTCCTTCAGTGAGCAGTGGCCAGGGAGCATTTTTTCAAGACAGGAGAAAAATAGAGAACAGAGAAAAGGGCCAAAAATCCAGGGTGGAATGAGTCAAATCTTTGTGGAAAAGCTGAGCAGGCGAAAGCTTTGACTCTGACCCCCCCATGCACCTCCTATCCCGAGGAGGCCTTAAAACCTCTGGGCACCTTTGGTGTCTGGGGGCAGGTCCAGGCTGCTTGCTGGCCTTTGTCAGTTTAGCTCAGTGAAGCTCAATGGGGAGCAATTTAGTTCCTCCCCACCACACCCCTGGGGACATTTGTCCATGCGTAGAGATCTACTTCACTGTTGCTGCTAGGGAGAAGGGAGGTGGAGGGAGGCTGCTGGCTTCTACCGTATAGAGGTGGCCAGAAATGCTGCTAAACATCCTACAACACCCAGGACAGTCCCCACAGCAAAGAGCTATCTGGTCAAGAATATCAAGAGTGCCACAGTTGAGAAGAACCTGCTTTAGCTGTTTTTGGGGGAATCAAATGTACCTTCCCAGCCTATATCTTCCAGGTAGAATGCTTAAGGGCTATCCCTGGAGCCCTACTGCTTAGGTGTGAGAGCTCATCATTTAATAACTGTATGATCTTGGGCACATTACTTAACTTTTTCATGCCTCGGTTTCCTCATCTGGAAAATGGAGTTCTCAATGGGTTGCTGTGAGGATTCAATGAGATAATACATGTAAGGCTCTTAGAATAATGTCTGACATGTATAGGCAATAACATGTAACTGACAGTGGTAGCAGGAGTCATTATCATCGTTATTATTGTACCCAGGTGCCTGTAGTGGCTGTGTTGGGTTCCGGGGGTGGAACGCGAGCCATTTCTTCTCTGTATGGCAGCCTGGCAGGGTTGCAGGAGCTCGGCCTTCTAGACACTGTGACCTACCTGAGTGGTGTCTCTGGATCCACCTGGTAAGTGAATGGGGGCAGGGCACAGGGTAAAGGAGACTCCCACAAAGTGTGGGGGTGTGACCTGGTGATCTAAAGGAGTCTCTGAGGGGCTGGGGTCATGTGGATAAGGAGGGACAGGAAGAGGCTGAGTCCCAAGGGCCCCCCTGAGTAGAGTTGCTTGCAGGGCAGCAGGTGTAAGTGATAGGGGTGGAGGGCCACTCACAAACTCTGCACCCCTCCCTCCTGTGGCTGCACTCCCCTGCCCCTGACTCAGGCACACCCCCCATCCCTAGGTGCATCTCCACATTCTACAGGGACCCAGTCTGGTCCCAGGTGGCCTTGCAGGGCCCCATTGAGTGTGCCCAGGTCCTCGTCTGCAGCAGTAAGATAGGAGCTTTGTCCACAGAGTGGCTACAGTACTACACTCGGGAACTTGGGGTCCAGGAATGCAGTGGCCACAGTGTGTCTCTCATCGACCTCTGGGACCTTCTCGTGGAGTATTTCCTGTACCAGGAGGTGAGAGAAGAGCCGGAAGGAAATATATAGGCTCCTCCCCTCTCCTTCCACCTGCCCCTTGCTTCTGCGTCATCCCTCTGGCTAGATCTGATTTGCAAAGCTGTTCCTGAGGTCTCAGCTCCCCTGGGGCCAGGAGTGAAACTCCAGAGTGGGCTGGTACCACTTCACCTCCCTAGCTTCTTACCCCTGCTGGGGGAGAGCCCAGCCCACAGTGCTGAAGTCTGTCTGCACATTAGAATCACTGGCACAGCTTTTCAAACACTCCCATGCCTAGGCCCCCCTTCCAGAGATACTGATTTTAGTTGGTCTCAGGATGATTTGAAAGTAATTCCAGCCCACAACTGGAAGTGAGGTCTATCACCACGCCTACTCCTTCTTGGCCAATCCAGCTGTGACTCACTCAGCCTGGCTGCAGTTACAGTCAATAAGATTCAGAGCTGCTCCCCACCACTGCTGCTCTGAATGAAGAGACCACTTAAACAGGCTTTGTGTGAGCAAAAAGGCTGTTTGTTCACCAGGGTGAAAGTGGGCTGAGTCTGAAAAGAAAGTCAGAGGAGAGTGGTGGGATAGGAGTTGGTTTTATGAGTTTGGGGTAGGCAGTGGCAAGTTATAACAGTTGACCAGGTATGGTGGCTCATGCCTGTAATCCAAGCACTTTGGAGGCCAAGGCGGGTGGATCACCTGAGGTAGGGAGTTCAAGACCAGCCTGACCAACATGGTGAAACCCTGTTTTTTATAAAAAAAAAAAAAAAAGAAAGTTATAATAGTTACAGTTCAGGGTGGTTTTTGCAAGCCGGGGGGTATTGCTGGGATGGTGGTTGGGGGGGGGTGGTCATAAGGTCCAGAGTCACAAGGTTGGGTTATCAGCTAAGGCAGGAACATTTGAGGCAGGAACAATGGTACAATGTCACCAGGCTGGTTAATTCGGTTTTGCAGGAGTAGCCATTCTTCCTACTTCAGACTTTCTGGCTCCAGGAGGCCACCCAAAGGTGTACGTGTGGGTCACGGGGGTCATCATGGCTGGACTTATGGTATGGCCTATGGTGCAGCCAGTTCAAAGAACCTTGCACCCATGTGTGGTGATTAGTTGTGAGTGCATATCACAAGTGATTTCTCATTTCTAAGTAAATAATCCACATTTTCCAGTAATTTATTTTTTAAAGAAATTGGACTGACTTTTCAAGGATTCCCTTAACAATGTCACCCTGTCTCCCTGGTGTTCTGATGTACTGTTTTGAATAGTAAAGAAGGAGGGAGGGTGTTCCCATAGTCCCTGGAATCGTACAGACCCACAGTGGGCTCCCCTCAGCCATGGCCTGAAGCCCGTCTCTCAGAGAGCTGTCCTTACAGCACTGGCCTTGGTGACCCAAAGCCTCTCTTACTGGCACACTGCACCCTGCAGGGTACTAGCCCCAGGCCACGGGGATGGGGAATGGAACTCCCAAAAGGCTAAGCTGCCTCCCTTCTCTCCTGCCCAGGAGAACCCTGCCAAGCTGTCTGACCAACAGGAGGCGGTCCACCAGGGTCAGAACCCTTATCCCATTTACTCCAATGTCAACGTCTGCACCAACATCAGTGGGGAAGACTTTGCAGGTGCCTGGGTGTGAAGACAAAGGAAGGAGGTAGAGGAGGTGGTGGGTAGGAGGTTGTGAGAAGCCAGGGCAATCAGGGTACCCATAGGAGGTGGTTGCACACGGGCACCTTGGAGCACCTTGGGGTTGCTGCTTCCTATCGCTGGCAGGGCTAAGATTCCTGCTTGGGCACAAGCACCATGGGGGCAGCCCCTGATGACTTTCCCTTCACTTGGGCCCCTAGAGTGGTATGAGTTCACCCACTATGAGATCGGCTTCCCCAAGTATGGGGCGTATGTTCCCACCGAGCTCTTCGGCTCAGAGTTCTTCATGAGACGATTGCTGCAGCTCCAACCCGAGCCCCGGATCTGCTACCTGCAAGGTGAGTCAAGGCTGGAGGGCTGGGGACAGGCAGGTGCCAGGGCCAGGCCCTGACGTGGGGTAGGGCCCTGCCTGTCTCCTTAGGTGTGTGGGATAGCGCCTTTGCTGCCAGCCTGGATGAGATCTTCCTAAAGACTGCTGGCTCAGGTCTCGGCTTCCTGGAGGGGTACAGAGGCAGTGTGAATATCACAGGTGAGGGTAGCGACTCTGAACCCCTCCCACACCACCTTGCAGCAATAGAGCTTTGGCAGAGACGTGAAGAATGAGGGAGGGGAAAGAGAAGGACTTGGCTGTCCTATTGGACTCAGGGAGGTCCAGAGGAAATGACATCTAGCTTAGGGTCTCTAGATGCCTAGAGGTATGATCAAGCCACACCTGTGAGTTCTCTGTTCTGGGATCCAGTTAGGTCCATTCAGCACAGGACTACTGGGTATTTGGTGGATACTCTGTCTACCAATCGTCAGTAGCTCCTCTACAGCCTGGTCCTTAAATTATTGTTAATCTTTACAATAAACCCGCTGGATAGGGGAGTTTAAAATATTTTATTTTGCAACTGAGAAACCAGCTCAGAAAGGAGGTGTCATCTGCCTGAAGTCACTCAGCTAGTCAGAAACAGAAAAGGGTATGTGTGAGTCTGGGGCAGTAGGAGGTGGACAGGGTAGAGGGTGGGGGTCAGAGGCTTGCTCCTGCCCAGGCCTTGAAGATGACAGAGAAGTACTGCCTGGAAAGAGGAATCCCCTTTCCTACCATCGAGGTGGGCCCTGAGGACATGGAGGAGGCCAGGGAGTGCTACCTGTTTACCAAGGCTGAGGACCCCTGCTCACCCATCGTGCTGCACTTCCCCCTTGTTAACAGCACCTTCTGTACACACCTGGCCCCAGGTAAGGGAAGCTCCAGGCCAGGGAATGATCCACAGAGCCCTGGGAGGGTGATAGGATGCTGTTCTGAGGGTGGGTTCCTGAAGAATGTCCCTAAGCATACCTCCTGGTAGGCCCAAGCTGGCCCCTACAGCCCTCTGCTCCCTGGGTCTCAGTGTTTACATGGGGCCAGCCTCTCCTGGTGGGTCTGAGAGCTGAGATGCAGCCCAAGCAGGGCCCACATGGAGCCAGCCAGGTGTCCTGCACAAGGACAGCTGTACCAGCCAGTTCCATGGAGGGATCCAGCCTGGCCTCTCCTTTGCCTCCCCCATCCACAGGTGTGGAGCGACAAACAGCTGAGGAGAAGGCCTTTGGGGACTTTATCATCAACAGGCCAGACACCCCCTATGGCATGATGAACTTTACCTATGAGCCTCAGGACTTTGATCGGCTGGTGGCCCTGAGCCGGTACAATGTTCTGAACAACGTGAAGACCTTTAGGTGTGCCCTCCAACTGGCTCTGGACCAGCAGAAGGCTCGGGAGATGGTTGGGGGCTGACCAAGGCAGGAGCTGGAGGACTGTGACCCAGAGGAGACACCCTGCTCAAGGCCAGGGCATGTAGAGGGAGGAGCATTGGGGACTCTGTGTGGGGTCTGCTGCATTTCTCTCTAGGACCTGCCTCCAGGTTCCCTAGGCCCTGGAAAGCTCTTGCAGAATTGCAGCTTCGACTTGCAGCAGCTGCCTCTTTGTGTGTTTCTTGGAGAAGATGAGGCAGTAGAGCTCTCCAGGGGGTCTTGGGGAATCAAGGACAGAAGTCAGCAGCACTCATTTCACAGCCAGGTGTGGAGAGAATGAGGTGCACCACAGGGCCCACCCCAGGCACAGAAGGACTTCAGAGGACCCAGGTCTTCAGACACACACAGACAGCTGCCCAGGTGCCAGCTGTCCTCCTCACCAAGATGGAAAGCAGAGATGCATCCACCCATACTTCCTGCAGAATGGCCCAAGCCCCAACCCCACCTCAAGCTCCTGGATGCACTGCTATCAAGAATCAAGAACAACAAGGGGCTGGGTGGGTGACTAGTCTGCATTGCTGACTCCATCACCCTAACCCTCCTTCTGCTTTCTGGCTTCCTCATGTCTCCTCCCAGATCACCCTTTTCTTCTCAGCAACCTAAAGCCTGTGGGATGCTCCAGGTGGGAGACATGCACATGTCCCCCTGCTAATCACCCATGCTTCAACCTTTGAGTGTGTGCCAGTCTCTGGTCATGTGCATGGTGGCCACATTATGGAGATATAGTCTCACCATTCCTAGGAGCTAAATGGGTGTGTCCAGAAGGGACATCTGTTCATCGGAGGAGAGTGAATGTGTACCTGTACGTGGGGCAGGGGGTGTGCTAGTTCCGGGGGGGTGAGTTGGTGGCAAGGCCTGGGCGGGACAGAGGGAGCCTCACCTGGGCTCCTGCTTCTTTCCCAGATGCACCACTGGCCTGGGAAAGTCTTGTTTGTTGCTCTCCCTCTTTCCCATTCCCCTGACCTGCCAGGGACTCTCCAAATATCTAGAACCTCCCTAGTGTGGACAGCACTAAGATCTGTAAAGAGGAGATCCCTTTCCAACCAGGCCCTCTCCATCTGGCCTTGGCCTCTGCAGCATATGCCCCAGTGCTAAGCCACCTGGGACCCTGCAGTGGCACTTGAGCCCTTTTTCCTTCTGCCCTCTGTGCCACCTTTTCTGCACTCTCACACAAACATGCTGTTAGGGACCAGAGCCACAGTCCCCCTTCAGTCAGGGACACCAGTGCTGGGAAGCCTCACCTGTCCTGAGTCTGGGAAGAAGATACTAGTTCTGGATCCTGGGTGGGAGAAGGGTGACCAGAGCCCAGCCTCTGTCTTGGCCTGGCCTGGCCTGGCCTGGGACTCACAGGCATCCAGCTGGCATGAGCTGTGAGGATGGGGGAGCAGTGCTTTGGGCTGGCATGGGGTGGGGGCATCTCAGTTCTACCCGCCGCCTCCTCACTACGGCTGCCTGTCACAGGCCACGGCCCCTCCTCTGGGCTCAGCAGTGAGGGGTTTATCTGGGAGTTGATCTGGCTCCTGCTGTGGCCATCGTCATTAACACCGCTGTGCCTGCCGCCATCAATAACTTGTTAGAAGTTCATAGGGTTCACAGCTTAGAACTGCACAGCCTTCACAACTTAGAATTTGCAGTGTTTCTTCAGTGCCTCATAGAGCTTCAGGCTGCCTCTGGCTTCTATAAAGTCAATCTACTGACGGTGAGGATTTTCATCTGTTTTGTTCATTGCTGTATGCTCAGTGCCCAAAGCAGTGGCTGATACATGGTAGCTGCTCAGTAAATATTTGATAAATGAATGGGAACTTATATTCTTTTTTTTTTTTGAGATGTTGTCTTGCTCTGCCACCCAGGCTGGAGTGCAATGGCTCAATCTTGGCTCATCACAACCTCCACCCGCTGGGTTCAAGTGATTCTCCTGCCTTAGCCTCCCAAGTAGCAGGGATTACAGGTGCACATCACCATGCCCGGCTAATTTTCTGTATTTTTAGTAGAGATGGGGTTTCACCATGTTTTCCAGGCTGGACTTGAACTCCTAACCTCATGATCCACCTTCCATGGCCTCCCAAAGTGCTGGTATTACAGGAATGAGCCACCGCACCCAGTGGGAACCTATGTTCTAAGAGATGAATCATCACTCACCAACCACAAAAAAGTGCAGTGCTTTCATGATTCTTAACCCTTTTGGACATTTTGAAAAGCTGATGTAAGCCACAGATCCTCTTCCAAGAAAAAGGCACACACACACACACACACACACATGACAAGTTGCTTACAACAGGGTCTCTGCTTCAGCTATGTGATCCCCAATCCCAGGAATGTAGAGGCTAGTGTCTATCCCCGCAGGCCAGCAAGGCTTGTAAAGGAGGCAAACGTGGGCTTGTGCAGAGCAGTTGGGGACCTTCTCTCACACACAAGTATAGGGCAATGCCATTTGTGCTCAGATCAGACTTGGGAGGACACTGGGACAAGATGGGATGGCAGGGAGCAGGAGGCTGGGCTAGGCTGTGGCCCAGATATTGGCCAGTGGTGCAGGGAGGACCTCAGCTGGGGATGGGGAGGCACCATCAGGACTGAATCTGGGAGCCTCGTAGAATGAGGAGCCAGGGGAGGGAACAAAGATAACCTGGCCAGTTTGATGCCTACTCCTCAGTGAGGAGGGATCTGAGTCTTTACCTTATTCCCAGCCCTTGTCTAAGATGGCTGGAAATAAGCTCCAACGTCCTCAAGGTGACAGAGTTGGAGAGATTTATCCAGAAGAACAAGCTTGATTTCCCTTGAAGCTGGGTACGAACATGGGAGTGGGGACATCATTCATCAACTTGTCAGAGCTCCTCATGAAGCAAGGGAAGAAAAAGGGGGCCACACGCCTGACACATGGCTGCACAGGTTGTGCACTGCACATCAGGTGATGCTGTTCACATGAACTGATGATGTGAATTTGTCTCTTGGAGTCAAGTGACCTAGCAGTCCTGGGACCACAGCTGCATCTGAGGGTGAGGACAGAGGCTGGTTGTAGTATCAGGCCCCCTGGCTGCTTCAGTGCATCTCTGGGCATTCACAAGAATCTCCCACAGAAAACAAAAACTGTAAAGCAAGTATCCTTTCCATTCCTTGGATAGTGCAGCACTGGGAGAGAGGCCTCAGATACTGGGAGGTGGCTGGTGGGAATGGATGACCCCCACCTTCTCCGAACCCAGGCCATGCAGCTAACATTGCTCAGTTGGTGGTGGTAATCAGCTGAGGGTTTAAATGAAATTTCCTTCATTTCAGATGGAACCATTCTTGCAGGGGAGAAAAGAAGGACACCCTGCATAACCCTGCAGAAATCTCTTTTTCCCTAGCACCTCTGTTCTGTAAAAATCCACAGGGACACCCAACAAACATGGCAGGGAGTCCAGGAATTTTCTCGATGCAGGATACAGGAGTCTGTATGGAGCTGTCCTGGGAGCCAGGGAGGCTGTTTGCCACTAGAGATCAGGGCTGGGGACTAATGTTTTTCCTATTAGGAAAGCTGAGGCACAGGAAATACTAAGCAGTCAAGGACTGACTCACTATGTTAGAAAGCCAGTTACTTTAGTAAGATTTAGGTCTTGGTTCTGAAAAACATGTACAGATGCTTCTCTACTTATAGTGGGGTTACATCCTAATAAACCCATCAGAAAGTCAATATTGTAAGTCAGACCATCATTGAGTTGGAGATCATCTGTATAAATATGTAATAAAGGCCGTTTTTTAAAAGTCTAACTACCAACTCTAGGTGGGAAGCTTTGGCAAAGTAAGTGAAAAAAGGAGGCAAGGTCGGGGAGAGAGGAAAAGACCAAGGGGAGGAAGGTATGAGTAAGAAAGAGAAGCGATGGGGAGCTATCTAGAGAGGGGCCACCTGGGTTGGGGGGAGGGGGGAAGGTGCTCTTGAGAGAGGCTCTGGCTGATTTGCTGGCGTTCACAATTCCTCTGTGGCTCTTATCCTTTGGCTCCAGAGTAATGGATCTCACCTGAGCTGCACATTGAATTCACCTGGGGATCTTTAAAATGACTGATGCCTACCGTGGCTCTGCTTGGTCTACTGCAGAGTATCTTTCTGGTCCCACTTTCCCCACTGGGCTCCTCTGGACCATGGTGGCCGACACTTCCACAGGAGGGTCCAGGTGGCCCTTACCTGTGCTTCATCTAGTTCGGGTTGGTACCACTGAAGACCCTTCTTGCTTTTCCTGCCTCCCTCTGGCCTCAGCGCTTCTTCCATCCTTGCCCTCCCGCCTTCTCTGCTCCCTGAAAACTGCCAGAATTTCCTTGAGGCACCTCAAGGCCTCTAAGGGCCTGTAGATTTTTAGTTCCATCTTGGGTACCAGGAAATGCTGAGCCCAGGTCTCCTTTCACTCCCCATCCCCTACCTCTCCATCTATTTTTACCATGACTGGATTTCAAACACATCGTCCTCTTCAGGGGTTTCAGAGCAAGTTGTGAGTCTTGAGACACACTTACTTTTGGTTTGCCATGCTTTTTCTTTCTCCTCACCTTTCCTGCTTTCTGCTTTGATTTTTTTCTTTTCCACTATCCCCCCTTCTGCTGGTTTGAATGTTATGCATCTTATTTCCACCATGCTAATGGTTCCTCTTGTCAATTTCATTGACATACCATTTATATGCAATAGCACATGTTCACTCTAAGTGCACAGTAAGTGTACAAGAGAGTAAGTGTACAGTTAAATGAATTCTGATAAATTTATATACATGCATAACTACCACCACAGTCACGATATGGAACATTTTCATCACCCCAAAACGTTACTTGCGTTCTGTCCCAGGCAATTTCCTCACTCCTGGCCCCAGGTGACTACTGACTAATCTCCCACAATGGATTTGTCTTTTCCAGAATTGCATACAAATGCAATTATATAATTAAGAAATTGTTACATTGAACCAATTAAAATGTTTTTGACTTACAATTTGTTGACTTTTTATTTACTGTGTCCAGCTTTTCTTAATCTGTTCTGCATTTGCGAGTCATCTCTGTTGCTGGGTCTGTAGTTCATTCCTTAGTATTACTCACTAGGATTTATGTGGGTATCCCACAATGTTTACCCAATCCCCTGCTGATGGAAATTTGGTTTATTTCCAAATGTAGCTCTCATTAAAGTCTTACTACTTAAACATTTATTTATTTATTTATTATTTTGAGACAGAGTCTCACTCTGTTACCCAGGCTGGAGTGCAGTAACGCAATCTCTGCGCACTGCAATCTTTGCCTCCCAGGTTCAAGCGATTCTCCAGCCTCAGCCTCCCAAGTAGCTGAGATTATAGGCATGTGCCACCTGGCCTAGCTGATTTTTGTATTTTTAGTAGAGACGGGGTTTCACCATGTTGGCTAGGCTGGTCTCAAACTCCTGATCTCAGGTGATCCACCCACCTCAGCCTCCCAAAGTGCTGGTATTACAGGCATGAGCCACTGTGCCTGGCTGAACTATAGAGTTAACAATGTGCAATTCCAGCCTGGGATAGCTGAAGGCACCATACATCAACCCATGAGAGCTTCTGCGTGAACTGAGCCCAGCAGGCACAGCAGCATAGTAACCCTATACTGCTAGCTCTAGAGGTTTTGGGAACTCAACCCTCCCAATGTGTTCAGGTAGCAGCGCAGGAAATAAAAGATTATTCTGAAGTCTTACGATTTAATTTGTCTGCCTTGCTGGGTTTTGGACTTACTTTGGACCCGTTACTTCTTTATTTTGGCCTATTTCTCCTTTTTGAAATGAAAATGTCTGCTGGGAATGGTGGCTCATGCTTGTAACCCCAGCAATTTGGAAGGCTGAGGTGGGTGGATCCCCTGAGGTCAGGAGTTCAAGACCAGCCTGGCCAACATGGTGAAACCTCATCTCTACTAACAATACAAAAAATTAGCTGGGTGTGTTGGTGGGCACCTGTAATCTCAGCTACTTGGGAGCCTGAAGTGGGAGAATCGCTTGAACCCAGGAGGCAGAGGTTGCAGTGAACCGAGATGGCGTCATTGTACTCCAACCTGGGCAACAAGAGTGAAACACTGTTTCAAAAGAAGAGAAAGGAAGCATCTACCCTATATCTCTCTTGCCATTGTATTTTGGAAGCACATCACTTTATTTTTATTATTATTTCATAGGCTCATGGCTGGAGGAAAATTTGCCTCAGGATGAATTGTGCTGTGGGTCTTACTCATATCTGATTTAGATGAGACTCTGAACTTTAAAGTTTTGTGTTGGTCCTGAAACAAGACTTTTGAAGCGATTGGGATGGAATTAATGTATTTTGCATGTGAGGATATGAATTTGGGTAGTTAGGGGCAGAATGCTATGGTCTGAATGTATCCCCCAAAGCTCATGGGTTGGAAACCTAATCCCCAATACAACAATGTGGAGAGGTGGGACCTTTAAGAAGTGATTAGGTCACGAAGACTCTGCCTTAATGCAATATGCAGTTATTGTGGGAGTGGGGTTGGTTCATTATCACACAAGTGAGTTCCTTATGAAGGATGAGTTTAGCCCCCTTCCTGCTTTCTGTCACCATGTGATACTTTCTGCCATTGTTCAACAGAGCAAGAAGGCCTTCACCAGATGTAGCCCCTGTACTTGGACTTCCCAATTTCCAGAACCCTGAGCCAGATAAATCTCTGTTCATGATAAATTACCTGTTACAGCAGCACAGAATGGATGAAGACAAGTGCCTCTGAATGATTCACACTGGAGAGAAGAAACTTGTTTAAATTGCAGATTTTTGAGTGTTTCCCAGTGCTCTGAATCTAAATCCCTAAATGTCTAAACTCTGGTTATCTAATT